CTACAGCTACAGCTACAGCTCCAGTGCCAGCGCCAGCGCCAGTCCCAGTCCCAAGCCAAAATGGGCCAAGTCAAGTGAGTTGGCATAAGGGCAGACGAGCCAGGCGAGTGAAGCCAACTTGCGGCATGTGGCAAGAAAGGGATACACAGGGGGAAAAAACACTTTACACTTGAAAATTATAAAGGAAATACTAGAAGCATAGAAATAACATATTAAATAATATTTTATTATATTTTCTGTAACAGATTTCCCTCCAATTTAACTCTTATTTTCATCTTTTTATAAAGATGTTTATCCTTTTTCTCTCTGTGCTTCATAATGGCACACTCTCTGCCTTCTTAGCGCCACTGGATGGCGGAAGCATAATAAATAAGCAAGTGTGCAAGCGGAAATATTAAGCAGTGGTCGGGGATGCAGCTTGCCACACACACACACAACGCACAACATCAAACACACACACACAACCGCTGTGCCACAATGAGCAGAAAGAAACTCATTTCGCCTGTCACGACTTTGGCCCCCGACATTTGGACAAAATGCAGTCAGAAAATGCAGAGATCCGCAAATGCACAAATGCACACGCCGATGCTTCCGAGTCCAAGGGCAAGGGAAGTCCCCTTGAGAGAGAGAGAGAGAAGCGGAAGTGCCCATTGTTGCACTGCCAATGGCCTAAGTCAGAGCTGCTATATAGTATACAGTATAGTTAAGCCGTAACACTCATAATTCACCGGCCGCCTGACGCAATGTCAACATCCAGCTTCCGTCATGGAAGGACACAAAAAATGAGGAATAGGAATGGAAACAAGAATACTTTACTTTCTTGAAAAATAAATACTCTCTCTAGGGAGTATAAAAAGTATATATATATCTTATAAGTTACCTTAAACAGCAAGAAAATAATCAAGGAATTATTAATAAACATTATCCCAATCAACTAAGAGTATCTCAAATCATTGGCATATGTTAGACCCAGCAAAACCATTCTTATTCCAATTTCAGACAGATATATAATATTTCAAAGGACCTGCTCTCACTCACTCTTCCGTAGCCATAGTCATGCTAATTTTTATTCAAATTTCACAATAAGGGTATTCCCAAACCAAAGTAAAAAAAAAAGCAAGAGAATAGGCATTTGTTGCTGGTACTTTATGCTCCAATTAGTAGCTTCCGACAACGTCTCAGACTTTGGATTCAGATTCGGACACCGATAAGGGTACTATCAGGAGGGCAAAAGAGTGCTGCGGTCGGTGCCAAAGCGGGGAGGAAGGACCTTCTTTTGTGGCATTTTGTGAAAACGGAAATCAAATAATATTTTCATACTGATTTATGAATCTATTTGCACAGGCACAACGGGCCACCGGCCACCGTCGTCGTCCCTGCCCATTTGCATGTGATTCATGCTCTGAAAACCATGAATGATTATATTTGCCAGTCCCGGCTGAGAAATCCAAGACTCCAAGAGAGAGTGAGTCTTGGGGGAGGCCCTCAAAATATAAATGACTTTGGTTTGGTCCGGCTGAGAGTTTATAACTAGCATCAGATTATGAGGCCGACTTCCAAGGGGAAGTTCTGGAGTCCGCCGCCGCCCCTCCCTTGGGACCACGAAATCCTTTTTCGGTTTCAATATTTATTTGTGGCCTCAGCTGGCATTTCTCAGGCCATGCAAATTGTTTTCTAGCCCCCGACATTAAGTTGTCAAGCCCCGGCCAGGCCGAGATTGTGTCGAGCTCTCAAAGTTTACTTACAGATTGCATTTATTGATGCTCCCAGCTCCCACTTCTGGCTGCCTTTCCATTCAAAAAGCTTTATAATGCACTTAAAGAGAGTCTGGAATTTATATTTTTCTTTAATTTAAATACTGTTTGCCTTGTCCAAACTAATATACTTTATGGCTTTGTTAAATGTTTGAATGTGGCTTTTGCTTTTGAGATATTAAAACTTAATTTTAGTTTAAGCTGTTGCAAATGAGTTAAAAGGTTAAATGGTTTCGGGGGGATAAAGAGTTTAGTTGACAGTACTAAAAGTTATAAGGAGAAGTGGGTGATTTAAAGGATGAAACAATCGTGATTAACTCTAACTTCTTTTATTTAAATTCCCCAATTGTAAGTCACCTTTACAGACTCTATAAAACAACCCTTCTAGATCTATGTTACTCCCTTTTTAACAGGTTCATTCACAAGCAAATCAAACAAGTTTCAAGTGAGTAACTATTTGCAAATATTTATGCGAATGCACGCCCAGGGAAATGTCACCGACACGTGTAGAAAACTGCAGATTCCGAAATTCGAATCAGACGATGAACGTTGACTACGAAAAAGTGCAAGACGTCGCGGGGTCAGAGGGCAAACGACAGTGAAAAGTGAAATGTTAAACCAAAAGAGAGTGTCTGAAGAAAAAGGGGAAAAAACAGAGTGAAATACAACTGCATTCCACACACTAACTGTCGCCATTTGTTATTGCTTTTTAGAAGCTTCTCTGCTCTAGGAAGAAGCAAGTCAAGTGGCAAGTGGAGACGGGGCATCAGTTTGCACTGTACAAAAAAAAGGGGGTATAAAATTAGATTTAGCAAATAAGTTTTATACTATTTAAAGACAATGAAGGAAACATTTCCAAGCCTATAAATCATACAAGCTCTTGATCAGAATCAACAGGCGAGTATTTCTAGCCATGTTAGAAAGAACATTTTATTTATAAATAATTTTGGTTTAAATTTTTTCTCTCTGTGCAATAAAAAATACCAAAAAGTCAAAAGCACCTGTAAAGTAAACTAGTTTCTTCTTAAATTTGTCTAAATTTGACTTATTTCAAATCTAAAAACTCTTAATTTTTATTTACAAATAATTTGTATATATATATTTTCTCCCTGTGTATTATACCACGCACATTGCATCAAAACAGTATAGCTAGAAACTAAAGGCAAGAGCTCCAGCACGTGTCGGGACTTAGAAGCTACCTTTCCCGGCACCCTTCCGGTGTCCTGCAGCCATGGCAACTCTCTCAATTGTTGTCCGGTTCATGGTTGCTCCAGTGCCTCTTCACTCCCCTCCTCCTCTGCCCCCCACAGCCCGCATAAACAATCGCATTTATGTGAATTTTATTTTGATTCTGTATGCGCCGCATAGCCAGTACAGCAAAATAGCTAATAGAAAGTTTCAGAAATCGACAGTAAATAAATGTAAAAGAGCTTGCCGAGAGCAGAGATTTTAATTTTAAAGTGGAAACTTGTAGGAAAATTGGAACGTGTTCATTGTATATTGTATAGAGGGAGTATATATATCGCCCAAAAATAAATCAGCAGCAAAGGACTTAAAAGAACTTTTAGTAAAAGTAGGAAAATAGGTTTTAAAAGAAGATTTTACATTTTAAAATTATAAAAATATGGTTTTGGGTATTCTCGTCAAAGGAAATTGTATCTAGAAAATCCCCAAGGCTTTCCAGCTGTCATTATATTTTATATAAACCCAAAAGAGTTAAATAAAACATCGTTATACGTCAGATAAAATGGCCACATTTTTATAATCATTCGTGGTATCTCCTTGCATAAGTTTTATAGCGCTTCGCCTGTCACTTAGTTCTTTTCGGCCCAGCTGATGAAGATATATACCAAACGAATTCTTTATCATTTAGAATGCGATTTTGGTCAGGACAACGGACAGGACAATAAATACTAATAGCCAAAATAGCCGGCCAACACATAAACCATAGCCGAGAAAAGTAATTCCCCGGCAGAAGGACGAGTAATAATCAACATCAAATTGCCTCGTTTCGAGTTCCACTTCCAATTTGGGGTTTTCCCTTCTCTTTTGCTTTTTTTTTTTTATATATTTCTGGACCCTGGCTCCAGTTCCCTTTCAGTTTCAGTTTTTGGTTCAGTTTCGGTTCGGGTTTCGGTTTCATTTTCGGTTCCAGTGCAAAGACTCACTCAAGTTCATTTATTTTTATTGTTTTCGGAGCTTTTCGGCGACAATTTATGGCCAGCGGAAAAAAAAGGAGATATTTATTGTTGGTAGGTCTCTCTGGCGAAACTTATGTACACACAATGGCCAACCAGAAACTTTATTTTATTTATATTTTATTTTTATTTTTAAATGAAAAGGAAAGTGATGTAAGAGAAAAGCAATGGAAAGAAAATCTACGTAAAACGAATAATTTACTTTTCTTTTGCCGGCTAAGCATCCCCAGCATTCTATCTTATTTTGCACTAAATTTTAACAGGATTTAGCCCCGTCGCTCTTTGCTGTCAGCTGCTAACAAGCGGCAAAGACGTCCACGCTGTCTGACCAGCCGAGCGATTCAAGCCAAGTCCACCAGTCAGGAGGAGCAGGAGTACGAAGAGCAGCAGAAGCAGGAGTAGCAAGAATACGAGGAGCAGCAGAAGCAGGAGGAGCTGGAGTACCAAGAGGAGGTGGACAAAGTGGGCGTGGGCATCGTGTCCATGGTGAATGAGTTTTGTCGCAAATCCGCTTACGTCCACACCGCCGCAACGAAAATTGTGATGGCCCTTCTGATGGAGACGATGTCGGGGCCACCACCGTCATGACGATGATGATAATGATGACAGCGATGATGACGATGGTGGAGCCCCCGAGAATGGCCAACGGCCTTCACAGTACCAGTAAAAGCGGCCCCCCTTCTAACCAACCACCCCCTGTTGTAGTCATTTTAACTGGCACATAAATAAATTCCATAAATCTTTTGCACTTTAACGCTTCTGCTTTGAGCCGAGTCAAGTCTGGGCCCAGATCCGATACGAGCTGGTTCTTTGGTAAGGGAAAATGAGGCTTATCCCTACCATATAGTCTTGTACAGTAACCAAAAAAAAGTGTACGTATTAAAGTGTACACATTTAACAAGGCTAAAAGGTAAGCCAAAAAGAGTTTAGTGAAATATAAAAATTTTTAAAGATAAATTAATATTTATTAATTAATATTTAACCTAATTAATTAATCAACTATATAATATTTTCAGAGTAAACCAAGTAGTATGCTACGAAATTCCTTTCAAAATATTCTCACACTAGAAGACTTTTTTCCACACACAAAAATCAAGCGTTTTTATACTTGCTTATTTTTTATAAAATCTCTAAAATTTCTGTCACCATTATACACATACAAAATTTCTCTATTATTTCCATAAAAGTATAAACAATGACTGGGTTTACCAACCTGCAATTGAACCGTATCATAAAGGAGCTCATTGCCCAAAAGGGAGACTGTACTTGCAACGAGGAGTCTATTCAGCGACTGATCCACCAGGCACGCGATGTGATCTCCAAGCAACCGATGCTCCTGGAGCTAGAAGGTCCTGTAAACATATGCGGCGACATACATGGTCAGTTTACAGATCTTCTGCGTATATTCGAGGCCTGTGGATTTCCCCCAAAGACCAACTATCTGTTCCTGGGCGACTACGTAGACCGAGGCAAGCAGTCACTGGAGACCATCTGCCTGCTGTTCGCCTACAAGGTCCGTTATCCCGAGAACTTCTTCCTGCTGAGGGGCAACCACGAGTGTGCCAGCATCAACAAAGTCTACGGCTTCTTTGACGAGGTGAAGCGCCGTCACTCGGTTCGCTTGTGGCGCAGCTTCACGGACTGCTTTGACTGGCTGCCAGTGGCCGCAGTCATTGGCCAGCGCATCTTTTGCTGCCATGGGGGACTGGGTCCTTCGCTCCGCAACTTGGAGCAGATAAAATATCTGCCAAGACCCACGGACGTGCCGAATGAGGGCTTACTGTGCGACCTACTGTGGGCGGATGTCAATCACACTACAAAGGGTTGGGGCCAAAATGAAAGGGGTGTGAGCTTCACCTTTAGCGAGTCCATCATCCTGGACTTCCTGAAGTCCCAAAATCTTGATCTGATGGTTCGCGCCCACGAGGTGGTTGAGGATGGTTACGAGCTATTTGCTGACCGCCACCTCATTACCATCTTCTCGGCTCCCAACTACTGTGGACTGATGAACAATGCCGGCGGTGTGATGCGTGTCAGCGCGGACCTCCTGTGCTCCTTTGTCATCCTCAAGCCGATGTGTGACTCCAGTGACTCCAAGGAGTCTGTGAGCGAGAAGTCAGAAGACATTTCGTGGACTTGATAAGCTTGTATATAAAATGTTATAAGCTTTTATTAAAGGCAGATCTTGAGATATTAATATGGAAAGCTTGAAGAGGGTATTTAAGGACCTCTTAATTTTTAGGCTCTGATTAGCGTAGCATTTTCCTTGACCTTTTGCTGGTTTTAATCCTAGAACCCATAACCCTTGAAGCATGCTCGAAACACATGTCCTTATGGCTCAAGTGTTGACTTCTTGAAAGGTCAATGGCGACTCCTCCTACGTTGCTCTAATAGAGTAAGCATCCTTGCCTCCTGTTGGCCCACTGTCAGTGTCACCAGGTGGACAGGTGACTTCAACACGCTTGTTTTGCCATTTCATTTGCAGCTCATTGCTGCCAGCCAAGTCAGTCAAATGAATTTTACATGGCGCTTAACTTGGTCAGATTGTGATGTTTGCAAGAGCAGAAGCTGGAGCTGGAGCAGGAGCCGTAGCTGATTTGCTGATGAGCAGGCATAGAGAAGCTTAACCTCCTGGAATCGCCATCTCGTCCTCGTGTGGCGCAACATTTATTTGATCTGGCAAAAGTCAAGCGTGGAGGACGAGGCAGCAGGTCGGACTTGGACTTGGACTCTTGGTCTTTGGTTGTCTGCTCAGTGTTGCATACGAAAGTATCTCCGTCTGGCAGGAGCACGCTCGAATAATTTAATACAGCCTCGGCATCAGCCCCAGCTCGCAGCTTCCCGCCTCGCATGTCCTGCAGGATCCTTGGCATTTGGAATGCACACAGCGTGCCATTTGACTGCAATTTAATGCTCTCTCTCTCTCGAACAGTTTATCCAAAACTGTCTCTGTTCCTCAGCTCCCCAACTGCTGCTGCCATTTCATGTTTTGCGAGAGATGACAAATCACATTTATTTATTTTGAGTATCTGCCAGACCAGGCGACCGTGTAAGCCAGCTAAGCTTTAATGTGTCCTGTGTCCTATGTCCTGTGACAGTTTGATTCAGTCGGAGAACTAGCTGCTGGGATGCAAACGGAGCAGGGAGTGTGGCTACAATCTGAAGGGTTAATGCTCAGGCATAATCGAATCTGGGAAAAGTATTTTGGCTTTCCAAAAAATGGGTTAAACCCCACTGAGTAATTGGCTCAAGGATGTAGAAGTATCTATGGGACACGTTTCACAGCGGGAAAACAATGCAGAAGTGGATGGCAGATTGCTTGGAAAAGGAGAAAGATATTTTTGAGTACATAATTATGCCAATTTGAAGCTGAATTTTGCTGAGAACACAAAAGGAATTATCTTTTTTCCTTCAATAAACTCTTCTTTAGTTACAAAAGTGTAAGTCAACCTCATTGGTAAATCAGAAAGAGCCTCTCTGTACCTGGAAACGGAAGTAGGTCAACCCCTTGGGGGGAGCTCGTAGATGAGCTCTCTCTCTCCCCTGACAGGACCACAATCTTGGCATTGGCAGTGAGACTCGTGACTCTCGAACTTCCTACTTGCTCGCTTAATTAGCAAAACAACCGGGCAACTGGACTGCAGCCGATGACAAATGACTGGAAAGATAGCGACAGCCAGCACAGGCCACCCTTTAATGACTGATTGGGGGGCTGGGCCCCGGAGGCACAAAGTTTAATTAAGGAAATGCCCACTAATGACGACTAATGGCCATGGACACTATGCCGAAAGCATTGCCGATCGCATCACCTCAGAAATCCGCAGAAATATTAGTTGTAAACATGGAAAGGACACCGGGCCATGATCAATTTTCATTTGCCAAGAGGAGGTTCTACTCCTCCTCAGAAAAGCGAGTGGAAAAATAAAGAAAAAAAGAAATACGAAGAATAAAAACAAAGCTCGCTTACAGCTCTCGCTCGACTCAATCAAGTTAATGGCGGCCAAATGGGTTTTTGATGCGCTGGCCGCGCAGCTCCATAAAAAATGATTGCCAGGAGGCCCGGTCCTGGCCTTCGTGTTCCGTTTCGCCAAAAGTTGGCTTAATGAAAACGCGTGGACATTGCCGTTAAATGCGTTCACCGTGGTGTGTGTATAAGTGTGTGTAACTGAGGTGGCATAAAACGCTGGCAACTTGGCTTAGCCAGACAGATAGCCTGGCCCAAAGTGGGCGTGCCAACTTTCTTATTGACAATTTGAGCATTTGAGCGTTAAATTCTTATGAGGCATAAGTTGGGCCCATAGTTAATAACGGCACTTCATAAGGACGCCGCCCGACACGACACGAGGTGTGTCCACGTGGATTCCCGAAAGGTTGGGTTGGGGGGCGGTTATGGCCAGCGCTTTTCCACTTTTCCGCCAGCCGGCATATTCTTATGTTTTTGCCCAGCGTTTGTTTTGGCCCTTGTTTTTATTTTCCTTTTGCCTGCGCCTGTTGCCCTGGGAAAGGGTTTCTCCATTTTCTGAAAATATTTGCTGGAAAGCGAGGAAAAACTTTTTTAATAGATATGAGAAAGTTTTTATCTATTTATATTTGTTAATAGGAATTTATTAAGAAGTTTGTGGGGTTTAAGAAAAGGAATTTTTTATGTATTTCATTTTTTTATATATTAAGAAATTAACGCGTATTTCAATTTAGTTACAACAACTTCAGGCCTCAAGCTAAGGAATTTACAAGTATTTTTTAATTTTATTTTAAAGGTTTTTTACATAAATTATCCCATAAATTAACCAAATCTTAAAAAGAAAGTATTCAATTTGTATTTTATTTATATTTTCACTAGTTTGTAAATATTTTTTTGATTTTATATATTTTTCAGGGCATCTCCAACTTCGACTTCGCTGTTCTCCCCCATCACTTCACGCATTTTCCGCTTTTCCCTGGCGTTGATCCGTCAGAAACTCTAATCAAATTAATGGAATAACTGAACGCTTATGTGGGCTTTTCCAACCCTGCACTTTTTTCCCCTTTTCGAACTGCTCCCCCTATTTTTTTTTTTTTTTTTTTTTTGCAGTTATGTTTCCTCTTCATTTTTTTTCAGGCGAAGGCCAATCTCAAATAAACTTGACTTCCGGCAGGGAAATAGCCCGGCCAAGTCCCCGAATGGCCTGATATCCACTGAATATTGCTAATTTCACATTCCGATTCAGCATCTTTCTCGCGTTTCAATTCAATTACACGGGTTTTTTGGGTAGGAGAGAGGAAAGAAGCCTGGCAGGCAGGAAAGTCCCTTCGGCTTGGCTTTCGGCTTAAACCGCAAGCGAAGAGATTTTAATTAATTGCATAATCACTCAAATAAACCGCATGGCCCCCGTCACACACCCGCCTTATCCCGGCCGAGTTTTCCCAGCGGGGTGGAAACTGTGGAAAACTTGTAAATGAAACGCAAAGAAACAATCAAAATTCCAAAAGTCACCAAGGCTCTCTACTCATTCCTTTGGCTTTGCCTTTGCCTTTTCCCCCGCGATTGTACAAGTGTTTTTAATATTTAATTGCTTTTTAAATGAGTCCAAGTATTTTATTGTATTTCATTTGATGATGTAAACGCTACTAACAGCACGTCCAAAACTCAAGAGGGGAGGAAAAGTGGCAACCACAGCAGTTTCCTCCGCTCTGGTCGCAACTTTTGCAAATTATTCAAAGCGAAAGGCGGGGGAAATTGGGGGCTGGCTGGCTGGCAACGCCTGGAGCCAAAGCAGCGACAAGTAATGGCCCAAGTGGCAATTTATCAATTAAAATTCTGCTTAACTACCAGGATGCCCAGGAAACGAACTGAAACTGGCAGTAAAAAAAAAAAAAAGAAGGGAGCTCTGGGACTCTGACCAGCTACTAAGCTCCTCGAAGTAGCAGTTCCATCCCTCTCAGTGCACTCTCAGTGTCATTTGCCGCGTGTTTATTTCCCTGCCAACGAACCGTTCCATCTGCCAACAAGTGGAGTGCTAATTAAAGTCCCATGGTCCTGGACACAGTAAATAAATCTTTGAACTGAATTAGATATAAATTGCAGTGCCAGAGGACTGTGCCTGAGCAGCCCCAGCGAAAGGAGCTTAATTAAATCGAGGCGAGGGCGACAAACGGCTGGGGATTACGCATCGTCTAATTGAATTCCATTCGAACAGCTGCCAATTTCAATACCCAGGATCCCAATCCGATGCTGTTTATGCAGCTCACAGGCTCAATAATATTTACCCAGCAGGGATATTACCTATCAGATGAGGTAGTTGAGAGTTGTGGAAATACCTGGACAGTAAGCAAAGAAGCTATTATAAAATGGAAAACATCAGGCAACACAGGAGTGACCTTACTCAAAGAAATACTATACTATATCTTAAAAAGGCAATACTATTTGTGAAACACTCTATCAAAGCCGCATTAAAAACACCTGCTCTCCAAATCCACGTGTTATTACAACCTTAAAACCTGTATTTGATGGCTTCATTGTCCACCAGAGGCTTAACTTTGCTTCCCTGAATTTTGTAATTATTTTCAAGAGAACCAGTCAATATACTTAACCGCCCATCCCGCCAACGACTCACAAGGACCCTCGAAACAGGCTCTCGCCCAGGCTGGTATTTAAGTTTGCTCTTTAAGCTTGTGCATGTAATTAACACTTTGAATAAAGTTTCGGCGCTGATGGCTGCCTTCTGTTTCAATATTTGTGTTTTCATTGGGTAGTTTGGTCAAATTTTTTTATGTCAGGGCTGCGGTTGGGAGGATGGAAGGCTTTCCATCCTTTTTTGTCGCCACCAGTAAGCCAGTGGAGATGGGATGAGAAAATATGGAAATTTTATTGCTCGCTTATGTTTGAGTTAATTTGGCAACAATTTTGTTGAATTTTAATGAGTGAGCGAGGGGGGAGCCCCAGCCCAGGTCCCTTGGGGACTGATTTAAGCCGTTGACAGGGCGACAGACTGCTGACAAGGGGATGGAATATGGGAATATGGTAAATGGTGGAATCCGCGTAACTTGCATTCCGACCAAGACGAGTTTCTAATTAAGCCGAAAGCCCATGACAGCCGCCGTCAAACTGAAGGCCGCAAAATTATGCGAAATCTGCCAGATATTTACAAATTACCAAAATCAACAGCAGACTCTCACTCGACGACGCTCGACTCTGTCGTAAATCTAAAATGGAAATGT